ACCAGGACCAGGTCAGAGCAGAACCAGGACCGGGTCGGACCAGGACTGGGTCAGACCGGGTCAGAGCAGAACCAGGACTGGGTCGGACCGGGTCAGACCAGGACTGGGTCAGACCAGGACTGGGTCTGAACCAGGACCAGGTCAGAGCAGAACCAGGACCGGGTCGGACCAGGACTGGGTCAGAACCAGGACCGGGTCAGAACCAGGACCGGGTCAGACCAGGACTGGGTCGGACCGGGTCAGAGCAGAACCAGGACCAGGTCAGAGCAGAACCAGGACCGGGTCGGACCAGGACTGGGTCAGACCGGGTCAGAGCAGAACCAGGACTGGGTCAGACCAGGACTGGGTCGGACCGGGTCAGAGCAGAACCAGGACCAGGTCAGAGCAGAACCAGGACCGGGTCGGACCAGGACTGGGTCAGAACCAGGACCGGGTCAGAACCAGGACCGGGTCAGACCAGGACCGGGTCAGACTAGGACTGGGTCAGACCGGGTCAGAGCAGAACCAGGACTGGGTCGGACCAGGACTGGGTCAGAACCAGGACCGGGTCAGAGCAGAACCAGGTTTCAGGTGTTCCTGCTATAAACTCAGAGTTTCTGCTGTGAGTTTATTTAGATTCTGTTGGATTTTCTTGAGTTTTAATTGGATCTTATGGGATTTTATCAGGATTCACTGGATTCCAGTTTAATTTTTTGGGGACTTTTTCTAATTTATTTGGATTTAATTTAATTTTATTTAGATATAGTTTGAGATTTTATATGGTTTTATTTTTGATTTAAATGTTAAAATCAGGAACAGGAAGTAGAATCGAGACAAAATGAATTTAAATCCATTTTGATCTGCATGTGGAGGCCGGACCCTGGGGTCAAAGTTCATGATGCGTTGCTCCCAGGTCGGATGCGGGGGTCGCTGGCGACGCTGCAGAAACTCGTCGACATTTTCCCCGACGACGTCGGCCTGAGGAACGACCTGGGCGTCGCCCACCTGTTGCTAGGCGACAACAAAGGAGCCAAGAAGGTTTACGAAGAGGTGCGTCGGTCCGCTCAGACGTTCGCGTTTCGGGTTTTAAGCTTCCTGCTGATTGGCTGTGTGTCGTTTGCCCCGCCCACCAGGTCCTCGCTGTTGCCCCTAGCAACGGGTTTGCCAAGGTTCACTACGGCTTCATCCTGAAGGCGGAAAACAAGATCGCAGAGAGCATCCCGTACCTCAGGGTGGGTCAGGCAGCTTTAGTCCAGCCTCACTGCATTATTGATTATTGATGAGGAATGACCATCGCCCCTCCCCACCCTGTTTCTGCAGGAAGGCTTGGAGTCCGGCGAGCCGGGAACCGACGACGGCAGGTTTTACTTCCACCTGGGAGACGCTCTGCAGCGAGTCGGAGACGACAGCGTGAGTGACTGGAAAAACAGATCAATATCAGTTATTAATCAGGAAATATTAAACACATCAGTTGTTAGTTTATATTTTTAAAACTCTGCTTCATGAACATTTTCAGAACCGAGGAACATTTTCTCCTACACTGAATGAATGTTTCTCATGTTTTCACTTACTTAACATAAATTTTATTAAATTAGCTTAAAATGTCAAAAAAAAGTCACATTTGTTCCTCAGAACAAAAAATGTAAACATTTCTGTTGATGCATTTATTTAAATGATGGTGTAATTTCCATGTTTGTCCACCAGATGGCGGTGTTTCCCCCATAACGCTCTGCACATTTCCACTCTGGTCATTTTCTCCGGTTTTCCTTCCTACGGAAATAAACGTCACTATTTATGTTTATTATTAACATTTGATGTGTTTTAGAAAAGTTTGTATTGGTTTTTAAAGGAGTTTCAAGAAAAAAGTGGAATTATGTAACAAAGATTATCTAAAATCCTCAAAAATATATTATTTCTACTCTATTTGGAATTTATTGGATGTTACTGGGATTATTGGTTTGCACTGGAATCTATTTGGATTTTATTAAAATAGTATTTCATTTTATTTAGATTATTATTTTATATCTGGATTGTAATATTTTTTTTTTATTTTTTTTATTTTAAAAGTTAGACGTATGCAGTTCTGTGAGCAGACCACAAGGTGGCGCTTTCTGATTCATTCATTCATCCATGGATTGGGTAAAGGGACATGAACACATGAACTGGGTCAGAACCGAATGAGAAGTTTAAAGTTTGGTTGACTTGAAAGCAGTCAGGCTGGTTTGGTCCAATCAGGAGTCAGGATTGGTTCCTCTGGTCCCGCCCTCTGTTGGTTCTGGATGTGCTGGTTCTGAATGACCCGGTGTGTCTGCAGGCGTACCAGTGGTACGAGCGGGGTCACCAGCGAGGGCACTTCGCCTCCGTGTGGCAGCGCTCGCTCTACAACGTGGAGGGATTGAAGGCTCAGCCCTGGTGGACGCCGCAGGAGACGGGATACACCGACCTGGTCCGGGTAGGTCGCCGTGACGACGCGTCCTGGACCGCTCAGGCCCGGTTCTGATCAGGACGCTGGTCTGTCCAGATGCTGGAGCGGAACTGGAAGACGATCCGGGACGAAGCGCTGGCGGTGATGGACCGCAGCCGGGGCCGCTTCATTCCTGAGGAGGAGAACCTGAGGGAGAAAGGAGAGTGGGGCCAGTACACGCTGTGGCAACAAGGTGCTGACCCGGTAACCAGAACCGACCCAGAACCGCCGGTCGGACCCTGGCTAACTGATGTTGATCCATGTCTCCAGGGAAACGGGTGGGAAACGCCTGCCAGGGCGTCCCGAAGACCTGCGCCCTGATGGAGCGGTTCCCTGAAGCGACGGGCTGCAAGAGAGGACAGGTACCCGACCAGAACCAGAACCTCCCCTCTGTTCCCTCCAACCAACCACCCTGTTTGGTGTCTTAGTTTTAACTCTGAGATTATTAGAAGCAAAGCAGTTTTCTTTACCTTTTCCTGACTTCCTGTCCGTGTTTTGTCCCTCCTGACTTCCTGTCCGTGTTTTGTCCCTCCTGACTTCCTGTCTCCGCCGGCCTAGATAAAGTTCTCGGTGATGCAGCCTGGGACTCACGTCTGGCCTCACACCGGACCCACCAACTGCAGGCTGCGGATGCACCTGGGCCTCGTCATCCCGGCGCCGGGCTGCAGGATCCGCTGCACCAACCAGACCAGGTGAGCCTTTGCTGCTGGAATCGCTGAGCCAAAGTTTAAACCACTTCCTGTGACATCACCGTCCACTTCCTGTTGGCAGGGAGTGGGAGGAGGGGAGGGTCCTGATCTTTGACGACTCCTTTGAGCACGAGGTGTGGCAGGAGGCCGACAGCTACCGCCTGATCTTCATCGTGGATGTGTGGCACCCGGAGCTGAGCCAGTACCAGCGCCAGACGCTCAGCCCCATTTAGGACCGGTTCTGCCCACCCGGTTCTGTGGACCCCACGGTTTGAGTTGTGGGAGGAGCGGCCTGACTGATGCACTCAGACTGATGAATGTTTTAAACTACTGACTGAACGTTAAGCCGGACGGCGCGGTACTTTCTGAGCCCGGTTCTGATCGGGTCGGGTTCTGGTGTTCCATCGTGATCATGGATCCATTCACTTCCTTTAATAATGAACCAGAACCACCTCCTTCTCTCCATCCCTGTCTGTGAATTACTGAAACACTACAGCCACAGGAAGCTCTGGACCTTCACAATAAAAGCCTGCATCATGTTTTAATTGTCAGAAAAACTTTAGCTCCGCCTGTTTCCTCTTGATCAGCTTTTTGTGGTTTTTACGTTTTTTTGCACATTTACTTTGTAATACAAGATGTTAAAAAAGATGATTAATATTTATATAAAATAATAAAAAATGAAAAAAGGGAAAATTCAGCATCTGGTTCTGATGTTTTCTTCTTTGGTTTGTTCAGATTTACTGGAAGAGCCATAAAAATAATTTCTTCTCCTTTTGCTTCTCAAGTTTCCTCAGATTTTCCTTAAAGGCATTAATTTTTATTTATTCTCCTCCAGGCTCTTTTCTTCTTCTCTTTTCTTTTCAAACCACAGAGTGATCCATCCTCACCGGTCAACCAGCTTGGAGTCTATCTCTTCTGCCGCACACCTCACCGCCGTCTCACCTCACCACTCATAAGTCGAGTTTCCATCAAAGTTTTTGAAGCATCACCTTTAAAAAGGCTGATGGAAACGGCTAAGTTCAAGATAACGTCTTCAATTTAGCGTTTGTTCGCCTGTTTCAGATCATTTTTGGCTTCTCTGAAAGTGTTGAGAGACAGAAACACATTAATCGAGGAAGTTCTGATTGTTTTTCAGAATAAAAGCCTCAGAACAAGCAGCTTGGTGTAAATCTTTACTTCTGTACATTCATTGAAAGTAAATACATTACATGAAGGTCGAGTGTAGCCCTGACGCTCATTTATTAACACCGCAATCAGGAAGACCGACCCTCCCACTTCCTGATGACGTCACTCCTCCATGTTCAGTCGTCGTCGTTTCTGCTGCGTGAAAATAACGTCTTCTATATTCAGTGCGGTAATACAACGATAACATACAATCTTTAAATGAAAACCGTTGTTTTCTGTGCGACGTCTGATTGAAACACGTTTCTAAAAGTTTCATGCACATCATTCTTTTACAGTGTCGGTGTTTTCGTAGTGACGCTCGCTTCAGGCGGAACGCGGCATGTTTGATGTTGCAACAGAAGTAAAGACAAAAACAGTGAAGATTCACCAAAAGGCGCCATGTTTAAGCCTGCTGTTCAGTCAGTGACCACTTGGTGGCAGCAGAGAACTCTGTAAACAAACATCTGACGTAGCGACCGCAGAATGATAAAACTTTAAATTTATCTGATTCTCACCAGCTCAAGACATGAATTTACACCTTAAAAAATAAATATGGGCTAAAAATAACATTTCATACTTCAACACTTTTTCACAGCATTTGAAAGCAGGCTTGAAAGTTTTAGAAAATATGGTTTGTACTCTTCTGGTGTACCACAGGGCTCAGTATTGGCTCCAACTCAATTCACCTGTCAGCTTATTGTCAACCAACATGTCCGTTCATCAGGGGTTCCTCCATTCGGGGTGCCACAGGGCTCAGCACTCGGCCCCGCCCACACAGGAAGCTTTCTTTCTTTTAAATCAGGTCGTTGCTTTCTAAACCACTTCCATCCACATTGAGACACAAACGATGGCAAAAACCGCTAGTCTTTACTCCACCAGACCTGTAGGTGGCGCTAAACATGGAGTATATACATAAAGCTCCTACATGAGCTGTAAAACCAAGAAAACAAAGCAAAATGAAAAACTTTTCCAGAACACTTTCAAACAACAAACATATAATCTGCTGTTGTTGTCGTGTTCGACCCAGATGATGCTGATATGTCAGCATTTTCACAAACATTGCTTTTCACTCTGAAACCTGCTTTAAAAAACATTTATTGTTCCTTAAACTTTGTTTTCAAGTGGAAGTGGGGGAAAATGTTGAAATCGTTCTCGTGTGGGTGTGGCCTAATTCCCGTGTGGGCGGAGCATCATTCATGTGGGCGGGGCCTCCAATTATTCTGCATTATTCATCCTGAACTGGTTGTGTTTTGTTAGCCTCCCCGTTATGTGAATGAACCTTTGTGCTGCATGTTTTTGCGTTTGAACGGTTTCCAGACTGAGACGTGGTTAAGTCCGGCAGCAGTCGGAGCGCTGCTGGGTCGGTGCATCTGGACAGATGCTGCTGGCAGGAAACCGGATCATCTGGGAGGAGTTGGACGGCTCAGACGGGCCGGGTTTGGCGCCGCTGGGAGGACGGATATCAGACGGTAACGGTGGAGTTCAGATGAGCGAAACCTGCGGATAATTAAACTCTGATCTTATCCTGAGGTTCCACTTTCCCAACAGAAACACTGGTGAGTTCAGACCAACTGGTGGAGGCTCCAGGTTAATGGGAGTTCTGGTGCTGATCAAGTTCAGGCAGCGAACCGACCCAAATCCAGACCTCCGGATTTAAACCGGTCCCGTCCGGTTTAAATCAGAGCTCCAGGTCAGTCCAGAGCCAGCAGCGGCGTGCTCGTCTCTCTGTCCATCTGCCGCAGCGCCGCAGCTTCCACCGTCGACTGAGACCTGAGACAGGACAGGAGAGACAGGACAGGAGAGAGACAGGAAAGGAGAGACAGGACAGGTGAGACAGGACAGGA